TGCCAAGTCTTCAGGCATAAGAAGGAGCATGCTTAGCGAATCCCCTCCCTTTTGCCAAGTAACAATCACACTACAGGAAGATTCTTGTCATAATGAGCCCTCTCTCTCTTTCTGGGTCTCTGCACACATGCTGAAGTGTGGGCAGCATTTAGCAGTCACTGGTGTAAATATTTATTGTGGCTTGTTTAAATCCTAGTGACATTGTTTTTAATGCAACATCCGTCACGTTTGCAGTTCTAAAGGAGGATGAACAACATTAGAGCCATCACAGGTCTTAATGGTTGTGTCTCGATCCGAGAAGACGCACGCTGTTGGAGTGTTTCTCGTGACGGATGCATGACTGCAGTAAAAGGGGATTAATCGCGGAAATTGCAGATAAGTGCAGGGGAGCACTGGCCTGGTACCTATCAACAGTCTTCTGTCTGTAAGTGGGAGTGAAAATGTGAGCTGAATAGCCGACTCTTTTCTCAGAGAGGAAATGACTGCAATGCACAGGTATTTGAAGGGAAGTTCTTCTGAGTAAGCAGCTAGATGGTTTTGTTAAGAATTGAGCAGGTTAACTATAGCACGGCAGTAAAAGTCACACTGTACATGCACATACCTTCTGAAATGCGATTGTCAGCTAAGATGAAAAAGTCCATGCCAATGAAGATGGCAGAGTGTAACTGACATAAACAGGTAACATAGACATGTTTATTCGCTGTATTTTTGCTTGCCGTTTTTTCTTTACTACAATGACCGGAGCTGTACTTTGAATAGCGAAACCCAGTTTTACTCACCTTTTTTGTTTGACCTATTTCTGTTCATGAGGATTCCTGTACTTCTACTTTAGCATCTACTTCCTTTCTGTTTGCCTGTCTTTCATCAATTATTCAGAGCTCTTATGTGACAACAGTTAAGTGAGCTTTTTATATGATTTGTGTTTTATATTTTATTGGTAGTTTATCACATGCCTTCAAAGCAGCACTGAGTGTGACTTGTTTGTAGTTTGAGACTGAGATAGAGCACGATAGGACGCTAGATAAACAGGTGACTCTTTGGTCACTGCATTACCTGCTGTTGGAGATTTGAACTGTTTCTAGGACAATGACACAAGTATATAATGTTTCCTTAAATCTATATGTTGACAGACAGCGGACTGAATATTTTTTTCCCCAGCTATCTAACAGAATGTTGGAGCACCTCACTTCTGGCTTTTCAAACTCCTCCCTTTTCATTCAATCAGTGCCATTTTGTCGATCATTTGTGAATTGATTCAGTTTTCCACATTAGCTTCATGGCGCATCGGATGATTAGCATATTTCCACATGCATGCACATACATTAATCCCCCATTCTGTCTGGGGTAGTGTCTGAATTCAAACTAGTATTAAACTGATGCTTATGTTATAAAGAGTTGAAAATCTTTAAGTGCCATTCACTGTAGCAATGCCACAGCTGAAATATTAACTTCACCCTGGGTCATACATTGTTGGGAGTAATAAAATTTTAAGTGCTTGCTAAGTACAGACATCAATTTTGCAATAGTGAAGAGGGGGAACAGCACTAATTCTATGACGCAGATGCTGACTTGCATCTCTGTACATACTTGCTTAACGTGATGAAGCTGACGTAATCTGCGATGCTCTGTTGAGTAATCCCTGGTTGTTATTGAGCGTGATTCTTCCATCGGGATTCTTGAACAAAGGAGAGCCTGGCACATGTATAATAACCATGCTGTCAGTTTGACTGAATCACTTCAGACTGAGCGGCTGAAACACGAAACACAATCGCCGATTTGCAGTCAGTGCTCTGTCGGCAGCATCACTGTTGATGAGTCCTGTCAAGAACTTGGGGGAAATTAAGATGTTTCAAAATCGCTTTCAGTTTTTCATTCACAGCTAAAGCTACCATTAATCCCTAGAGGATAAAGAAACTTTTGACTGTTGAATAGAGAATGAATTTGACCATCCATTTTCCCTCCCAGCCCTTGAAAATGCTCTCAGCGCTCTTTTTCTAAAAACAAATTAGAGCCAAGAGAGAAAAAGAAGTTTTCTTTTATTGATGATGACAGTGACGGGAACCATTTTCCTGGAACCAGATCAGGGCAGCTTGCTTGGTGGCATCACATTCTGCTCCCTTTGGCATGTGGTCTTAAAGCCTGAGCCCTCATTCCCCTTGGACATATAACCATTACCACTTTCTCCGGATGCCAGCTAAATTGTGCCATTCACAACCACCTTTACTGTTTTTATCTCCTCTGTCTTTTATATTCATCATACCTGCCTCCCGGGCACTTCTTAGCCAACCCCCAGACTCGCTAGTGAGCATACTCAGACAGTCCTTCCTGGTGTAGCAGCAGGCTCAGGCTTGTCCCACAGTCTGAGTAATGAAGGCAGCACCGGGGGAGGGGTGGAGGGTGGGGGAGCTCTTTCTGCCTGCTTGTGTTGCTCTTCATCATTCCTGCCAGCGCCCAAGCTTTCCTAATTAAGACAATATTTTGGCCCAGCAGATTATGGAGCAGCTGGATCATTAACATGCAAGGTCAAATGTCACGTGTCTGCTTGCCGGGCAGCATTTCTTTTTCTTTTCTCTTCTTTTTCTGCCATCAACTTTGGTATCATCACCTCTGACAGCCACAGGCTTGTTGACAGTCTTCCTGGAAATGTTTTTAATAATTTGGTTAAAGAACTAAACATTTTACATGACCTGGATTGGTAAATATGTATAATAAGGGTGATACTTGGCTAAAGCTGCAGACATTATACTCTATGGGATGCTGACTGGTCTGAGTTTAGCCTAACAATTACAGTGCGACATATTTTAGAAAGGCTGCTGTGCTGGTTGCAGTGACTGTATGAGTTATATGATTTTGTCAAATGGACAATATCTCCTGGAATGCTATACAGAAGTTGCTTTATATTTGTGTCGGTTTCAGTTCGAATGGGGAAACTCGCTGTCATTACCTGTTTATGAGTCACCTTCGTTTCAGTTACAGGGTGGAGAACGCTTGTGCACATTTGTTTATCTTTTTTGTCATGAGGAACTGGGACTGACTCACCTGGCAGAGTAGTCGTTCAGTGAGGTAGATCATTTATCAGTCTGCTTTTGACTGCAGGGGTTGGTTGAGTTGCCTTTAAGCTTTCTGTGTTTTTGTTATGAGGATGCTGCGGTCATAAAAAAATTAGAAATTTGGTAGAGCAGAGCGACCGTCAAAGGCTTAAAAGAATTTGGCATGAAAACTGAAACTGTATTTTAAACAATAACCATTTGAAACATGCTGAACATGCGGTGCAGATGAACACCCCCCCCCCCCCCCCCCCCCCACCTCAGCTCATCCCATCCCATCAATGCCTCTTCACTAAAGCTGCTGTTTTCTTCACTTCCAAACATGAACATTTTTTGTTCCTTGTTGTTTTTTGTTTTCCAACAGGGGAACATCACTTGATGAATACCCCCCCATTACAAAAACAAGTGACTGATGAAACTCGTCCCCTTTTTCAAGGGAAGATGTAAGACCAGTACCATTAATGATCTACTGGAGCCAGATTTGTTTCCCCCCCCCCCTCTCTTTGAATTTCTTTAGCTGTGCAAAAATGCCTTCATCATGTGCTCTGCTTGTGTACAATGATGGCGGATATTGAATTGGCTGCTGTGCGCTTGCTAACCCCTGCTGTGAGTGATCAATTGAAAGGGACCTCTGTAAAGCGTCTTTGACTGATACAGATGGAGCTCGCCCAATTTGGGCATTTCTCACTGTTCCTGTTACATCTCATATCAACATCCGATGCCTTAGAAAAAAAAAAGTTTTTTTTCCCGCTCTCTCCATGATGGCTGACACATTTTTCTTACTCGCAGATAACATTTTTTCATTATCATGGAAAAAAATGTCAAATATGTATAAGAAATGTGAAAATCTAGTGATTAGCCTAGTAAATCTGGTACTTTTTTGAACATGTCATACAACATGTGGGATGATTCTCAACCAGTTGCAGAAATTGACTGTTTGTGTTGGCCTTGTCTCGTGTTTTTTCTTCAGTGATATCGTGTATGACCTTTTTTTATGGTCCGTTAGGAATCTTTTTTTTTTTTTCTTTCCCCGCCTGCACACTCAAGCTTACAAATGCTGAAAAACACTCGCTTGTGCGAGCATGCTTAGTCAAGAGAAAAATCCCACAACTTAGTGAGGATTCCTCATCCTCCTGCCTGTTCCTCCTGTTCCCCCCCGCGCCATCGTCACACATATTGCAGTGTCATCTCGCTCAGTCTCTTTTTCCTCCATACATTCTCATGTTCACCTATGTTTGGAACTTCTGGTCTGCTCTATTTTAAGGCAAAGATGGCAGCGTGCCGACAGGGACAGCGAGACGGGTTTTTGGCCGGCTGCTCTGCGCAAACACGTCTAACGCACGTATCGCAGAAGACTATTTGCAAGATGACGCTGGTTGGCTTGTTTATGGCAGAGGCTCTGTTTTGGGGGAGGAAGGGAAGGCAGAGGCAGAGGCAGGCGAGCAGCGGGGAAGAAAGTAGAGAGGGGGTTTACTACCCTCAAGAGAGTCGGAATTCCTCCTGAGCCATTCCCCCATTTGGCTGGCAGTTGTGAAAACAATTGCTTGGCATTTACTCTCTGTGCAGATGGAGTCCCAGCTATGAGTCAGCTTTGAGAGCAGCAAGTGGTGGAGAAAGTGCTGGGCTTGAGATCTCCTGCACAGAAAGTACAGGAATACTTCAGAAACAGACATTTAGTTTGCGCAAACTCGGCAGAGTTCGTCTGTTTTTGAGGCTAATTTTAAACAAAGGCCATTTGACTAATAAAAGCTTTTTCTTGTTTTCTTTTGTTGTTGTTTTTTCTCCAGATTTGACCCGCAGAAGATGCTACGCTAAACTCCTGAGCTGGCTGAGGGGTCCTGGATTTATCCCCACTTGACTACTTCTTACCTCCCACGTAGAGCGCTTCTTTTCAAACACCAACAGTCATCTCCACCACCTCCACCTTTTCCCCACGCCCAGTCTGCCGTCACCATGACGTCGGAGCTGGAGAGCAGCCTGACCTCCATGGACTGGCTTCCTCAGCTGACCATGCAGGCAGCCATCCGCAAGGCGGATGCCCAGAATGCCCATGGGCCAGGCATAGGCAAGAAGAGCACGCTGCTGGATCATAACACCACGTTAGACCAGGAGGAGGTGCAGCAGCACAAGGACGGCAAGCCGCCCTACAGCTACGCCAGCCTTATCACGTTTGCTATCAACAGCTCGCCAAAGAAGAAGATGACACTGAGCGAGATCTACCAGTGGATCTGTGATAACTTTCCCTACTACAGGGAGGCGGGCAGTGGCTGGAAGGTATGATGCAGACGCCCACACTAACTTTTATACAGATTAAAGAGATGTTGCTCCACACGTTTGCTGACAATAATTACCAAACACTCAGTCGGCTAAACACACTGACCTTTGCTTTCAGACACTTTCTTTATTTTGCACTGGTTCCGAAAATTCTCCTTTGGCTGTATATTTTGTAATAACCTGCTTGACAGCATTTGTATAAGAGTTTAAATGGATAACTCCAACTCCAATGATTGTTTTGTAGGTGCCGGACAACACATGTGTGACGCGAGTGTTAATCAGTCATTTTTGCATCCTAGAGAGCCGAGAAAGAAACTACGAGTGTACCAAATCACACAAAGTGCCTTGCTCCTCGGAATGAAAAATGGTGCAGCCCTGAGAGAACCACATGAAGTGTAAAACTCTGGATTAATATTCAGAGAAGTGGCCCCTATCTGTGCGAACATAGACTAAATAGCCCATTCATGGGTGGCATTATTCATTGCAGATGCCTTGATAGGAGAAGGCCATTATGCAGAAGGAGAAAGCCAATGCTGTGTCATCATCTCAAGGAGCCCATGATATACTGAGATGAAGCTATGCTGATTGCCTTTTAAAGAGCCCAGATGGAAATTGATATTAGAATGAGTTTTCCAATCAGTCGACGTTTATTGGAAATAGAATCTTAGGCACTCCTTTATTGCAGTCAGACAAGATGTATGAAACCCATTTCCTGAGGCGACAAGATCTGGCATGTGTACAGGCTGCATGGAGGCGTAGGTGTGTGGGTGTGTGCGTGCGTGTGTGTGTGTGTAGGTGTGTGTGTATGAGGTGGCTTGGGGGGAGATGAAAGCATCTGTTATTAGAAATGGATTGATTTTAATTTTCAAAGAATGACCTGTTGTAAAGAAATTAAAATGCTTTTATTTAGCAAGCTTTCTTTACTCTACCTTTACCTTCACTGGCCCTTATTTAGATGTCAGGAAAACAGCATCTGCCTTCTTGCATCTTCAGCAAACACCAATGTGGTCTCAGTGGGCTGTACAACACCTACTTTTGTTTCATATAAGATGTCATATAAGAAGTCAAGACACGTTTATTTGATGATGCGATCCGAGCTATATCCAGACCCTGCTGCTTACAATTTTTAGAGTATGACTGATCAGCTAACTGAACAGATTTGAATGACATGTATAGACTTCTATAGACTGAAGTGTGAAGACGCGCTTTTTTCTCTTTGACCATCATGGTCACACATTTTCTTTTCTCTTTGTACATTAGGGTGCAGTGAAATGGTACCAATGCTGCTGAGTTACAGTAGAGAAGATTGAAATAAAGTCTCTAATTCACATTCGTTTTTAGAACTTGTTGTGAAGCTTTAAGCAGATTTGAATAATGGAAGATGCTTTAAGAAACTTATCTTTTTAAGTGATTGTGGTGGTGGAAGGTGAGCCTGTTGGTGCAATGCAACAACTATCAATCTGATTCCTTATGTCTCTTTTTGAAGTAACCTTACATTTGTCCATCATCATCTTTTTGGAGCAAGAGGGCAGCACGTCCTATCCAGAGATGGAGTATCAGACATTTTACGGGACCATCTGAGAAAGGGCTGATAGCACATGGATACAGCAGACTTTCCAGCAGACTTACAGCAGATCAGCTTAACTTAACTAGTGTGATATCAGTCTTTATTCTTATATTTTGAACCTTTTTGTAACCAGACTGTTCACTGACATCTCATTGAAATGAAGTGACACATCCACATAGCTGACATCTGTAACTATTCAGATGCTGCACAGATTCCCATGTTGCCATATCTTTTTGTGTCACAGGACAGATCAAAGTATGAATCACCATATAAATGTCACTGTCTTGTCAAAGTCTGTCTCATAGCAGCAGCTTTATAGAAATATTTTTGGAGATAAAAGGCAAATAAAACCTGAGTTTAGTCTGTCAGTAGTTGCAAAACTTTACAAGCTGATAATCGGCGTTAAACTGTCATTGCTGACGATAAGATGTACGCCACAGATTTCACTGATGGTGATCCTTTTTTACCTTTGATATCAAATCTAGAAGTCTAAAGCCACCCTTTACTCTGGGTTCAGGATTTAGTCTATTACAAACATGATTTCAGAATTTGAAAAAGTAGTGCTTTATATATTATTACAGAGATGAAACACTTGCACAAAGGTTTCTTGAATGTTAAAAGAGAACAAATCTAAATTGCATCAAGGTAATTTGTCATTAATTAGTCTTTGTTGTAAAGTCAAATAAAGGTTAAAAAAAACATTACTATGATTTAAATACCCCTACCAAGACTCATTAATGGATTCTTTGAAATCTCTTTGAAATTTGGGGATTCTACCGCTACATTTTTACCCTCAGAGATAGGAAGCCAGAATGGGACAGGTTTATTTTAAGTGCCTGGTCTAATATGCATTTGACGTAACTGGAATGATTTCTTTAGCAAAAGTGTAAGTAAGTGAATTAATCACTGTGGCTGGTGATTGGCGCTCCTTTCCACTTTCTAGATTAGTAATAGTAGCGCAGATCGACAGATTATGGCCTACATGCGGGCTGCAACTGTAGAAATACCCTGACTTGAAATGTGTGAAAAACCACATCACTCTAACCAGGATGCTGTACAGCACAGGAAACCGAAAGAAGCGGTTCAGAGATGTGCTCATAGGTAGAAGCCTGCGTCACTATTTTTTTCTCATTTCTTGTTAATAGCGTGTTTTCCCTTTCATAGTTTTTTTCTGAGAATCCAAGCTGAAATTAAATGTATTTAGACTGTGTGGAAAACCTTTTCGTTGCATAAGATATTTGAATGAAATCCATTCTTGGAACGTTTGTGTGCCTGGGGCTTTCAAACAAGCTCCAGTAGCTTTAGGTTTGTTCCTAATGCTTTCGTGCTAAAAATTTTCACATCCCATCACACAAATGATATTTTCATCTAAAGCTGTGTATTAGCCTAGGGAAAGGTTACCCTCCCAAGCATCAGAAAGTTACATGGAGCCCGTAGAGTTGTGGAGGTTTTGACCGCAAAGAAAACCTCGAATGCCCAAGGATTTGCAAGAGCACAAACCAAAAATAAGAATGATTCTGTAAGTTGCATGCAGTATTTGCTGTCTCCCCGCACCGTTGAAATGACATGAATCCACCTATACGGTGCCTGAGCATCTATGTTTGTGTGCGTAATTAGTTGAAAGCAAGCATGGCGGAGTGGGGTGAATGTAGGTCGGGTGTAGTCATCGCTCTTCTGTTCCCCTGGAGATGTGAGTCGCAGCAATTTGAGACTCCACACACGCATGCGTCTGTTCTGTATGATAATGCAAGCTGTGCCTGTGAGATGAGACCTGGCTAATCTGGGCACCAGCAACTCATTTAATCATCTCAGTAGAGCTCCATTAGCCTTCACTTTTAAGGAATATCAGTAAGTGCTGTCAATAAAAAAAAAAGAAAGAGAAAAAGAAAGGATAATTCATCAAGGTCAGAGATGTGAGTGCTCCATCTATGAGCAAGCAATTAGTCTGGGCTTTTTTCACACCCTTTATGGCTCTCAGAGGGACTTTTGATTCATGTTTTGCAGGTTGGTCTTAATAGTCCCGTGCATGATTCAGCTCATATGCAGCAGCTTCCGTGCCTCTCTGTTCCTGTCACGTAAGCCGTGTTTTTGAGGATCTGCCAGACTGCTTCAGTACAATTCACATGCAAGGGTTTCTGAATGTATATACAAAATGAGCGCAAGCATCTGCTCGCAGCTCTTTTCTGTCATGCACTTTGGGTCCGTCTTGTCATGAGAGATATTTGCTGCTCAGTTTAAAAACTGTGGCAGGCGATGGAAGCTGACCCACATGACTACTTTTAGATTAAAAGTTAAAATTAGGAGCAGATGTCACCACAAGGTCAGCAGGCTATATTTTTTCTTATCAGCATTGCTTAGCAAAGATGACTCCCCTGGTACTATGAACACTTGACTTTGAGTATTTTCGTCATGTAAAGAGACAGTACACAAGCTTTTTCGACGGGATGGTTTTTACGTGTTGGGACAGAAATATAGAAAGGAGGAGAATTATGGTCCTTACCGGTTTTTAAAATGAGGTCAACGTACGCTCAAAGGAGCAAGGAAACGTGACACATTAAACATTCATTCAACAAGAACCTTGTCAAAATGCACAATCACAGTGTGAACAGCTTAGTGCACCCTAATATTGAATGTAAAATGAAGCACCTTTTGCAGCCGTGACTTAAAATGGATGCATTATTAGACTCTAGGGTCATTGTGGAGGAAATGAAAGGGTTTATGGGAACGGGCTGATTTTGGTGCTATGGTGTGATATTTTGTGTGTTTTTGTTGACCTAAGGTTGTGTTTATTCTAAGCCAGGATATACATTTTATTTGTCATTGTGTGTAGAACTGACAGCAGATTTCCTTTTTTTTTAAACATGCATTTATACTGTGCCATAGGGTTGGGATCAAACTTCTTGTAGTTGCAATCTAAAAGATTAAAAATGGGATTTCTTAGTTTGAATTCTTTTAATGAACGGGATAGATGCAGATTAAATACTCCAGATATCTAGAGGTAAATTCACAAACCTGCTGTTTCTCCTCTCAGATGCTGACTGAATGGTGTATCATGATTGACACCTCAGCGTTTACTCCCATTTGCAACCAGTGCTTGTGGGGCAAATGTTACGTCAATGCTTTGCAGGCATGCGTCCTCGAGACATTTCCGGAGATCGCTGCAAGGGAGGGGAAAGTCCCCGAGTCGACTTCATGCTGCTTCACTCTCAGGGCATTGCTCTTATGTCAGATAGGGTCATTCTAAGACTCTTACACAATAGAATTAATTCATGACCGATTTTTGCTCACTGCAATCTTTAGTGGATTTAAGCTTTATAAAGTCAAGTTTCTAATTGTCTATAATTCTCCAACATTGATATAGAGTACCAGCAGGGTACTCAGTAAGATAGGCTTTTCCTAACGCAGGAACGCAGTTAATTCATTTGGGTTATTA